GTTTTTTATACTTTTTTCTTGTCTTTTCTATTTTTTTTTTCTAGTAACATTTGTGGCCTGTGAGACCAGTATAATGTATATTGTATAAGTGTACACTCATTGTATTCAACACAATAACTGCACTAATTTGTTTATCATTATATTGCTTACAAAACTTGTTTACAAGTTTATTATAAACAAAGTGATGAAAATATTAGTGCGGTTATTGTGTTGAATACAATGGTACCATATAGTACCATATGGTACAATGGTGCTATAGGGTGCAATGGTACCATATGGTACAATAACACCATATGATACAATGTACCATATGATACAATGGCACATGATACAATGGTACCATATGATACAATGGTACCATATGGTACAATGGCACCATTTGGTACAATGGTACCATATGATACAACAGTACCATATGGTGCAATGGTACCTTATGGTACCATATGGTGTAATGGTACCATATGGTGCCATATGATGCAGTGGTACAATATGGTACATTGTACCATACAGTACAATGATACCATATAGCAGTTTTACCATATAGTACAATGCAATATGATGTAATGGTACCATATGGTACAATGGCACATGCTACAATGGTACCTTATGCAATGGTACCATATACAATGGTACCTTATGGTGTAATGGTACCATATGATGCAGTGGTACCATATGGTACATTGTACCATACAGTACAATGATACCATATGGTTCATTGTACTGTATGGTACTATATGGTACTGTTGTATTCAGCACAATAAACACACTAATATTTTCATTATTATTTTGTTTACAATAATTGTTTACAACAAAAATATGCAAAAATGTTATATATTAGTAATGTTCTATTATACATTTACAAGTGTACAGGAACTTGACGTGTTCCTTGAGGTGGATGACAAACCACTTTGGGAAACTGGAGAGTCAGTAGCTAGCTTGCGTCGCCACTCACCACTCACTCAGTCTTGGCTGGTGTCTCATGCCACCAACACCTATTGACCATATGGTACACGGTATCATATGTTACAGGGTACCATATGGTACATTGTACTATATGGTATAGGGTACCATGCAGTACAGGATAGCATATGGTGCAGGGTACCATATTGTGCAGGGTACCATATGGTACAGGGTACCATATGGCACAGGGTACCATATGGCACACGTTACCATATGGTACAGAGTACCATACAATACAGGACACCATATGGTACAGATACAGGGATAACTATGGAAATAAGTCACCCTGACTTTTTTGGTTATCCTAGGATTTTATACATATGCTGCTATGTATGATAATCTATGTAATTGTATTTCTGTACACCTGAATAAACTTACTCAAGTGCATGTGGCATCATAAGTAAGTTTATTTAGTTATACACAAATAAAGTTACATAGAATATCATACTTAGCAGCAAATGTTTGGAGAACCAAGGATAACCCAAAAAAGTCAGACTTATTTCCATTAGGGTCCCTGTACCCTGTACCATATGGTATAATGTACCATATGGTACAATGTATTATATGGTACATTGTACTATATGGTACCACTCTGCCATACAATACCATTGTACCATATGATACCATTGTACCATATGGTACCATTGTACCATATGGTACCCATATGGCACAATGGTACCATATGATTCAAAACCATAGAATTCATCTTCATCTCCACTTCCATCAGTCTTAGAACTGTAAGTTGTGAAGAGAGTCAGAATTCGCCCAGAGAGTGAGTGTGGGGCCAGAGCTTCCTTGCCGCCAGGCATGATGAACAAAGCTACTTTGGCGGCGTTCCCACTATGCCATGCGAGTGTGCACGCTGACCACCCAGACCCATTCTCTCAGATGTAGGCCTACCAGCTTCTCGCACTAAATTTGATGCCGCTAGAATTTTGGCGTAGATCTATGGTTTGGACCCTGAACGTAAAGCCTTAGATCTATGGGACGGACCCTGAAAGGGTTAATCCACATAATCCTTGAATTTACACATTCATGTTCTCTTATCTCCTTCCATAACTGATCCTTCAACATTATTGCTACCCCTTCCTTAGCTCTAACCCTCTCAGATACTCCAGATTTAATCCCATTTATTTCCCCCCACCGAAACTCTCCTACCCCCTTCAGCTTTGTTTCGCTTAGGGCCAGGACATCCAACTTCTTTTCATTCATGACACCAGCAATCGTCTGTTTCTTGTCATCCGCACTACATCCACGCACATTCAAGCATCCCAGTTTTATAAAGTTTTTCTTCTTCTCTTTTTTAGTAAATGTTTACAGGAGAAGGGGTTACTAGCCCATTGCTCCCGGCATTTTAGTCGCCTCATACGACACGCATGTCTTACGGAGGAAAGATTCTTTTCCACTTCCCGATGGACAATAGAAGAAATAAAGAAGAACAAGAGCTATTTAGAAAAAGGAATAAAACCTAGATGTATGTATATATATATATGCACGAGGAAAAAAGGTATATCGGCAACACTTCTGCAAGCGACAGGACTCAGTGTTGCAGTCAGGTGAGCATCCAGCACTAACTTCGAGGTCTTATATCTCGGTAAGTACTGGTCCTAAAAAATTTTTGTTGGTCTTATAACACAGAAAATTAACCTCTTTATTTTTTTTTTTTTTTAAATATTCGGAGTGCTGGGGGAGAAAACATAGATCTATGTTTGGACAGTTTAAGGGTTAATATATGATAGGCTAAATATGTTACCAAGCATTTATATGCATTGAAAGTGAAAAATGGCTATGTTTCACTTTACAGTGATCTTTGGTGTAAAGTAAAAGGACACAAGTGCAACTAATGTGACATTTTATTGTGGCAACGTTTCGCTCTCCAGGAGCTTTATCAAGCCGTTACAAACAGTACATGGACACAGAGGGTATATTATGTTACCCAAGTAATAGCTTTTATATCCTTTGACTCATGTACGAGTTAATTGCTCTACCCTATTGTATTACTACTACAACTTATGTCACTACTACTACTACTACCTCTAGTATTGCACCTCACTCTGAGCCTTTATATACCCTCTGTGTCCATGTACTGTTTGTAACGGCTTGACAAAGCTGCTGGAGAGCGAAACGTTGCCACAATAAAATGTCACATTAGCTGCACTTGTGTCCTTTTACTTTACAAATTGTCGGTAATTCTACCAACATTATTACGATCTTTGGTGTAGAGCAGTAGCCTGGAACCTAACCTGCTGTATAGTGGGGCCCTACAGTAGCCTGGAACCTAACCTGCTGTATTAGCAGGGCCCTACAGTAGCCTGGAACCTAACCTGCTGTATAAGTGGGGCCCTACAGTAGCCTGGAACCTAACCTGTTGTATAAGTGGGGCCATACAGTAGCCTGGAACCTAGCCTGCTGTGTTAGTGGGGCCCTACAGTAGCCAGGAACCTAACCTGCTGTATAAGTGGGGCCCTACAGTAGCCTGGAACCTAACCTGCTGTATTAAGTGGGGCCCTACAGTAGCCAGGAACCTAACCTGCTGTATAAGGGGGGCCATGCAGTAGCCTGGAACCTAACCTGCCATATAAGTGGGGCCCTACAGTAACCTGGAACCTAACCTGCTGTATAAGTGGGGCCCCTACAGTAGCCTGGAACCTAACCTGCTGTATTAGTGGGGCCATACAGTAGCCTGGAACCTAACCTGCTGTGTAAGTGGGGCCCTACAGTAGCCTGGAACCTAACCTGCTGTATTAGTGGGGCCATACAGTAGCCTGGAACCTAACCTGCTGTGTTAGTGGGGCCCTACAGTAGCCTGGAACCTAACCTGCTGTATTAGTGGGGCCCTACAGTAGCCTGGAACCTAACCTGCTGTATAAGTGGGGCCATACAATAGCCTGGAACCTAACCTGCTGTGTTAGTGGGGCCCTACAGTAGCCAGGAACCTAACCTACTGTATAAGTGGGGCCCTACAGTAGCCTGGAACCTAACCTGCTGTATTAAGTGGGGCCCTACAGTAGCCTGGAACCTAACCTGCTGTATTAGTGAGGCCATACAGTAGCCTGATACCTAACCTGCTGTGTAAGTGGGGCCCTACAGTAGTCTGGAACCTAACCTGCTGTGTTAGTGGGGCCATACATTAGCCTGGAACCTAACCTGCTGTGTAAGTGGGGCCCTACAGTAGCCTGGAACCTAACCTCCTGTATAAGTGGGACCCTACAGTAGCATGAAACCTAACTTGCTGTATAAGTGGGGCCCTGCAGTAGCATGGAACCTAACCTGCTGTGTAAGTGGGGCCCTGGAACCTAACCTTCTGTGTAAGTGTGGTCCTGGAACCTAACCTACTGTGTAAGTAGGGCCCTGGAACCTAACCTGCTGTGTAAGTGGGGTCCTGGAACCTAACCTGCTGTGTAAGTGGGGCCTTGGAACCTAACCTGCTGTGTAAGTGGGGTCCTGGAACCTAACCTGCTGTGTAAGTGGGGTCCTGGAACCTAACCTGCTGTGTAAGTGGGGTCCTGGAACCTAACCTGCTGTGTAAGTGGGGTCCTGGAACCTAACCTGCTGTGTAAGTGGGGCCTTGGAACCTAACCTGCTGTGTAAGTGGGGTCCTGGAACCTAACCTGCTGTGTAAGTGGGGTCCTGGAACCTAACCTGCTGTGTAAGTGGGGTCCTGGAACCAAACCTGCTGTGTAAGTGGGGCCCTGGAACCTAACCTGCTGTGTAAGTGGGGCCCTGGAACCTAACCTGCTGTGTAAGTGGGGCCCTGGAACCTAACCTGCTGTGTAAGTGGGGCCCTGGAACCTAACCTGCTGTGTAAGTGGGGCCCTGGAACCTAACCTGCTGTGTAAGTAGGGCCCTGGAACCTAACATGTTGTGTAAGCAGAGCTCTCCTATAGTTTAAGTTTATTTTAAGGCTGGCCAAAGTGCTCTGCATAACCAGGGACTTTCCATGAAGTGTGTTAATAATGTCATCTTTTTCTGAATCTTTTGTAAAATTATACTTTGTAGAAATATGCTTTAATCATTAGCAACTTTCTTCTGTTTTATAGAGTTGAAGGAAACAATTGAGCGTGTGGGAACAGAATTCAAGCAGAAAATAGTGGATTCCATTCAGAACACTTGGAACCGTCTCTACCAGCTGTACAGTGGCACTCCTGCCAGCCAGAGCCTACACCAGCATGTTGATGAGGTGAGTCACACCAGCCACCTTCGTTGATAAGTTTAATGGCATTCCAACACTTATGTTGATGATAGTTGTGTTAATACCACCAGTTATGTTGATGTTGGTGCCAGCACTTATGTTGTTGATGTTAGTGTCATCATTTGTGTTGTTGTTAGTGTCACCGGTTATGTTGATGTTAGTGTCACCAGTTATGTTGATGTTAGTATGACCAGTTATGTTGATGTTAGTGTCACCGGTTATGTTGATGTTAGTGTCACCAGTTATGTTGATGTTAGTAATGACCAGTTTATGTTGATGTTAGTGTCACCGTTATGTTGATGTTAGTGTCACCGGTTATGTTGATGTTAGTGTCACCGTTATGTTGATAGTTGTACCAGTTATGTTGATGTTAGTATGACCAGTTATGTTGATGTTAGTGTCACCGGTTATGTTGATGTTAGTGTCACCGGTTATGTTGATGTTAGTGTCACCGGTTATGTTGATGTTAGTGTCACCAGTTATGTTGATGTTAGTATGACCAGTTGTGTTGATGATAATGTTATCACTCATGCTGGGTGTGACTTTATTATATACATGCAGTGTCTTTTACAATGTTTTGCTTCAACTATTGGTTGTTGCAGGCACTAGCAGATCATCTGTACCCGGAGGAGGAGGAGGATGGACAGCCAGGCAGCGGAGGGGAGCTGAAGATTCCAGTGGGCTGCCTCAACCAGGGCCGGAGGATAGATTACGTGTTGCAGGAGAAACCTTACGAGAGCTTCAATGAATACATCTTTGCTCTGCAAGCTCATGTTACTTACTGGTGAGATGATCTTGATAATTTCTAAATGTCACAGTGTGTACAGGCATTCCTCACCTAACGGCCGAGTTCTGTTCCTACGACTAGGTCGTTAAGCAAATTGATTGATAAGTGAGGAGTGTCATCATGGGAGTTATCAGCAGGAGTTATTAGGAGCTGCAGAGGGGAGGGCTAGGTAAGGGAGATGACGGCGAGGAAATGGAAGGACTTGGGTGTAGCTTTCCAGAAGAATCCCATTAGTGTGGTGTGCTTTGTTATTTTCTTTTTTTTTTATTCATAAATTTCATGATAGCATTGTAAAAGTTCATTTACCATTCCATTTTTGTGAAGCATTCAAAGCATTCGGATTCATACCTTCTAGTTCTAATATAGCAACATTTACTTTCCAGAACCAGTTAACCCCTTCACAGTGAACTTCTTTTGTACTTCTTCCATTCTTTGCTCCTCTTCCTCTTCCAAGTGCTTCTGCACTTCCAACTCTTATTAAATCTTCATAGTTAGCTCCCTTTGACATGTTACACTAGTTTTTCAATATCTTCTACTTCAACATCTAAATTAAGCACACTGCATACCATTCCCATGACCAAAGTTCTTGTACAGCTTACAATACTGACTGGTTAGAAAGTTGGTCATAAGTCCAAGCGGTCATTAAACAGGTAGGTCTTTAAGTGAGGAATGTCTGTACTTGTAATGTACCTCCAATTTTCCTGTTAACTAAGAGCTTCATTGACAACAGTTATCCTTAGAATGTGATTTCACATACTGCAAGTTTGTTGGGACACAATTCAGAAAGTGTGATTAGAGTTGTTTAATGTGTTCCCTGATGGCTGGGCAGTGCACCTTCTTGCCATTGGTGCTAAGCAAAGAAAAAGCCATTGTCTGTAGACACCATTGTTCCTTATCTAATGTTGTCCAGAATTTATTTAACTTATAAATGTGAAAAGTGGGTTATAATAAAAGTGTTTTAGTACCCGGAGAAGTGAAAAGAGACAGATGGATAGAGAGGAGATGGATAGAGAGAAGGAGATGGATAGAGAGAAGGAGATGGATAGAGAGAGAGAGAGAGAGAGATAGAATAAAGCTAGGGATCCTTAACCTAACCTTGTCAAACCCTGTGCAAAAAAAAAAAAAAAATAGATTTTCAAAGATGTTAAGTGAGTGTTTAGGGAGTTGTTTTGAACCTAGTGAGAAAGTAATTGTGATAGGGACATGAATGCTAAAGTGAGAGAAATGGTTGTAGAGGGCATGTTAGATAATCTTTTTAACATATCACTACAAACTGGCATAGTGCCTGATAAGTGGAAAATGGCAAATGTAATACCTATTTACAAGGCAGGTGACAGGTCCTTGGCTTCGAACTATAGACCAATAAGCCTTACCTCCATAGTGGGAAAATTTATGGAATCAATAATTGCCGAAGCAATTCGTAGCCATCTTGATAGGCACAGATTGATTAATGAATCTCAACACGGTTTTACAAAGGGGCGTTCCTGTCTTACGAATTTACTAACTTTTTTCACTAAGGTGTTTGAGGAGGTAGATCATGGTAATGAATATGATATTGTGTATATGGACTTCAGTAAGGCTTTCAATAAAGTTCCACACCAGAGGCTATTGAGGAAACTTAAGGCACACGGAATAGGAGGAAAATTTTTTCCTGGGTAGAGGCATGGCTGACAAATAGGCAGCAGAGAGTTTGCATAAATGGGGAAAAATCAGAATGGGGGCACGTCACAAGCAGTGTTCCGCAGGGGTCAGTGTTGGGCCCATTGTTGTTCACAATTTATATAAACGACATAGATGAGAGAATAAGTAGCGACATAAGCAAATTTGCTGATGACACCAAAATAGGCCGTCCAATTCATTCTAATTAGGACACTAGAGCACTCCAGGATGATTTGAATAGACTGATGCAATGGTCGGAGAAGTGGCAGATGCAGTTTAATATTGACAAATGCAAAGTTCCAAATGTTGGACAGGTAAATAACCATGCCATATATAAACTAAATAATGTAGATCTTAATACTACTGATTTCAAAAAGGATTTAGGAGTTCTGGTTAGCAGTAATCTAAAACCAAGACAACAGTGCATTAGTGTTCGCAATAAAGCTAACAGAATTCTTGGCTTAATATCTAAAAGGATAAATAATAGAAGTCCTCAGGTTGTCCTTCAACTCTATATATCCTTGGTTAGGCCTCATTTAGACTATGCTGCTCAGTTCTGGTCACCGTATTACAGAATGGATATAAATGCTCTGGAAAACGTACAGAGGAGGATGACAAAAGATGATCCCATGTATCAGAAATCTTCCCTATGAGGATAGACTGAGGGCCATGAATCTGCACTCTCTTGAAAAGCGTAGAATTAAGGGAAATATGATCGAGGTGTATAAATGGAAAACAGAAATAAATAAAGGGGATGTAAATAGTGTGCTGAAAATTTCCAACGAAGACAGGACTTGCAGCAATGGTTTCAAGTTGGAAAAATTCAGATTCAGGAAGGATATAAGAAAGCACTGGTTTGGTAATAGAGTTGTGGATGAGTGGAACAAACTCCCGAGTACAGTTATTCAGGCTAAAACGTTGTGTAGTTTTAAAAATAGGTTAGATAAATACATGATTGGGTGTGGGTGGGTGTGAGTTGGACCTGACTAGCTTGTGCTGCTGGGTCTGCTGCCGTGCTCCTTCCTTGAGTGAAGGTGGCCAGACTGGGCGAGTCATTGGGCTAATCCGGGGGGTAAGGACATGGACCTGCTCCGCATGGGTCAGTAGACCTGTTGCAGTGTTCCTTCTTTCTTATGTTCTTATGTAAGACACACTTTTCTTCCCAGCAGAAGTCTTGGAAAATCATCCTGTGCCTTGTATGCTCAAGGCGAGGGGCCAAGGGTAGGCTCTGGGTTACTGGCAAGTGGTGTTTTATAAATGAACTTGTAGTTCAACATAGCAATCAAGTTGTAATGCTCATGCACCTTATGTGCTAGAAAATACAGTAATACGTATTTTAAGAAAAAGAGAATGAGTATACGAAATACGTACGGTGAAATGACGGCAGTTTGTTGGGGTACATAGCACAGCCTCTCCTCACTTAACGACGTACTCGTTTACCAACGCTTCAGACTTACGACAGGCTCTCTGACCAGTATTCATACCTGTATAATGTATTTTAGAGCTGATTTCCTCTGTTCTGTTCATTACAATATACAGTACATTGCTGCATAAACATTTAAAAATATACCAGAAATGTTATAAATGGTGTATAGGTAACATTAAAACAATATCAAAGATGGTTGACACAAATCCACTACCATTATAGTATGCTCCGCATTTAGTGACAAATTCATTTATCGACGGGGTCTTAGGTCCCTATCCATCGTGAGAAGAGGCTGTACTGTATCTTGGAAAGGATGCCTACTGATTTGGAGATTTTTCTTAGATATATGCTGGATCTTCTTTCAACCAACTGGCCGTATCCCAGAAAGAAAAACGAAAGTTCCTCTTTATAATTTTAGTAATTTATACAGGAGAAGGGGTTACTAGCCCCTTCCTCCCTGCATTTTAGTCACCTTTTATGACACGCATGGCTTATGGAGGAAGAATTATGTTCCACTTCCCCATGGAGAAATATGCTGGATGTGGGAATAAAATTTAAGATTACAGTGAAGGTGAAGACCTAGAAATTGACCCTCAGTGTTGTAATGGGGAAACCATTTATTGATATGTTACGTTGGGTATTTAAGGCTCTGTTTCAAAACAGCATGAAGTTAGTTTTGTCTATATTAAGAGCAAGTTTGTTGGTCATCATCCAAGTAGATACTTTTGCAGCTCATTTATGTGTCTCTAAGTATAGCCAGGTTTGAGTGGGAGAGGACATTAGTAGTGTTGTTGTGAATAGAACTGGTTGAAGGAATTGGGATGCATTGGGGAGATCATTGATGTAGATGAGAAAGAGGAACAAAACACTTAAAGAATACACTTCAATGCAATGGTAAGTGATGTGGATTGTCAGTGGAGAAAAGAGCTGTGTACCACATGTGGTATCTAAATTTTTGTACACAACCGGGGGTGGATCTACTATGAAACTAATGAAGCTTAAGCACCAGGGCCCCTAATCCCAGAGAGGCACCAGAAGTGACTTTAGTCCACATTGTGTAAACATTTTTGGTCTATTGTACGATAAATGGTTGCAAAGGCCCCCCCCATAAGAGTTCAAGTTTTCGGGCACCAGATATGTAGGTTTGCCTCTGAAACTTAATGAAACTACATATAGTACTAATATTTTGCATAATGTCTAGGTTTCTATGCTTTATTAGACTTTTTTTTTTTATCTGCTCTGTGTGAAGTGAGTTGAGACAAAATTGCAGAAAATTGTGTTGTGTTGTGAGAAAATTTGCTGTAATAATAAGTTTTTGAGAGAAGTAGTGTCTTAATATTTCTTGTGCTTTTACATGGTGAAATAGAGCATCTGTATTGTGTACATTGTTCTTACCCCATAATTTTGAGAGGACATTTTAAATGAGGTTTCAATCTACTTTTGACTGTTATTAAGTGACAACTTAATAATGATCTAGAAAGTACTACAACTTCAAAAGTTTCTTTTCCAGATTGTGAATTAGTTGTGAATTTTTCCAGCCATGGTATTGAGACTTACTTTTCATATTTATCTGTTACAGGGAGTCAGAAGACACTATGCTCCTCATGCTAAAAGAGCTATATGAGCCTCAGGGGATTCTTTGTGATGCAGAGATCAACAGGAAGCAGATACCATCAACAAGCCAGCTTGGGTTGAATGGTGACCCTGGCTTGGGCTCTGCTTCACTGAGTCCTTCCACTCCCCCAGTCTCTCGTGCTAGTCCCCCGCAGCTCGTTCCTACTGATTACAGCGACACAACCTCACATCTCACCGAGCCAGTACCACTGCTCTCTGCCACCATGTCTAGCCCTGTATTACCATCTGTTATGCTACCACCCATAAACTCTGCGCCGTCTGGCACATTGAATGAGGGACCACGGGTGATCAGTGGACGGCCCGTGGTGGACGTAACCTTACAGCAGACGGTTGGCATGGACCCTACACTCAGACCAGTCGACAAACCTGTAGTTGGCCCACCACCTAAGATTCCAGGTGGAACTTTTGTTAGGACGTCTCCTTTCAGAAGATGAACCACAGCTGAAACTTGCTTTTAAACACATTGAAAATTAAAATTGTTTTTCAGTACAATATTTGCATGACTGTTATATTGTTATTTAAAAATATTTAGAAGAATTTATTTTCTGAGTACATAATGAAAGATTTATTTATGCTTTGTACATCAAATAGCACAGATTTAGTGCAGTAAATCCTCATATTTGTAGCATATTTTTTTTTTTTAGAACAAAAATAAAATAGAAAATTAAGAATTTGTATATTAATTATTGTAGGTTCAGTTAATGTAATCAGAATTACCCCATTTTCATATGCAGTGTAAGTAACCAGTTACAAGGAAATAACAGATGAATCTTTTGTTTGACATTATTGGCTACATTTTTAATTCAGTGCTTAGAATGTCGGTGACCCTTTACTCTGTAAGTTGTGTGGTCAGAGACAATACACTCAGTAGAGTAACCTTTACTTTCTGTAAATTGGAGCTTGTGGCCAGAGAGACAATACACTTGGTAAAATTGAACAAAATTGTTTTGCTGTAATTGCACATGCAAAATAGGTGTTCCAGCATGTATAGAGCCATTGTCACCAATAATTATATTGCTAAGAGCTTCATCTAGTGTCAGTTAGTATGGTATTAAAATATCTAGGTTAAATATTATATTATTATTATTATTATTATAATCAAGGGGGAAGTGCTAAACCCGGAGGATTATACAGCGCCTGGGGAGGGGGGGATGTGGAAGGCATTCAGGCTTAATTCGGGGAACTGGAGCACAGATCCAATTCCCTAAATCAAGAGCCCCTCACCAACATCAAGGAACCTTCCTTGAGGGGTTTAAATATTATAGATTTAATTATTTTTCTAGTGAGATATTACATTCCTTGGACAAAATTGGTGGTTTGGAAGCAAATTTAAATGTTATCTTAGTTTAGTTTTTGACACTGAAGCTACAACTTGCAGAAGAAGCTGCATGTTATGTTCCAGGCAGCCACAGTCCATTATAAAATCATAATAGCCCAGGACAGACCAATGCATTGTTTAAAGTTTTCTCTCCATGTTGTAGGTTGTGAATTGTTTCTGACAAATGGTATTGTGACTTTTATTCATCTTTCAAATTTTTTGAAGAAATTTCTACTATAGCCTCCTTTGAACATATGAAAGACTTTAAGGAATGAACTGGGCTACATAGGTAGAGTTTTCCTATTCAGTGTTTTGCAATGCTTGTATTGCTGTTGTGTGATCCTAAACTGCTTCAGTGTTCTTAGTGCCCTCATGATACTGTTTGTCTTACACTGTTCCTACTTGTAAGTTTCCTCTCTTATTCTTCCTTATGTGGTACAGCCTCCACTGACTCAAATATTGCACAACAATAATACTAAGTAAATCATTGAAAAAGTAAAATCTAAACCTGATGATGCAGTTGTCAGTTCTGTAGTTCAGTATTTATTTGTCTTAACAGTTTTAAATTGTTGATACTTTTTGTGTTAACTTTAAGTGCAACATTTCTTAATAATCTAAATCAGATATATGAGGGTCCACTGTACTGTAGTATGTTATTTTGGTGTGCTTAATGTTATTTATTTATTTTGTTACTATGATTTTTATAGTACACTGTTTAATACAGTATCCAGACAACTTTGTTAGTAGTTTATCAAAAGAAATTTTAGAGTACAGTTTTTCTTCTAAATTTGCTAGTTGACCCAACAATCACTATGAGAAACTCTACTTTATCAACCTAGGTACAATGAGTTTATATTTTTGTACTGTGTCTATCAATATGATTAAGTTAGTCATAGTTCTTCATATGTCTATAATTAAAAAACAAATAATAAAAGGTCCAGCAAGTATGTACTCACCTTTTTGTGGTGCAGCAGCCAAGTCTCAGTTCCTGGTCCTGCCTTTTATACTGGCTGTCAGGGCCTCCAAGAGAAATTTTGCAAGGCAGAGCAAGACTGCTTTGGGGCCCCTGGGGGCAGGCTGAGGCTTCTTTCAAAGTTGATAATTTGAAGTCCAATAAAACCATTGGTAAATTTTCATAAATGCTTTATTTCCTATGCAGCAGACTGACCAAATAAGATATACTTTATTTTTTTTTTTAACACGTCTGCCGTTTCCCACCAAGGCAAGGTGACCAAAAAAAAAAAAGAAAAGCTCAAAAAGAAAGAAAAAACTTTCATTATCATTCAACACTTTCACCATCACTCATTCATAATCTCTGTCTTTGCAGAGGCACTCAGATACAACAGCTTTGATGTCCCTCCAAACTGCCAACATCCCAAACCCCTCCTTTAACCCTTTCAGGGTTGGTCCCGTCATACTACGCCAAAATTCTAGTGCCTTCAAATCTAGCAGGAGAAGCCTGGTAGCCCTGCATGTGAGAGAATGGGTCTGCAGAGTCAGTGTGCGCAGTATGAAAAAATCGGGGCACCCGCATTGCATTGTGGGAGTGCTATTTCAGTACGCCTTGTTTATGATGCCTCACAGTAAGAAACTCCTCACTCCCTGGTGAATTGGGACTCTTTGTTTCCAAGTGATAGTTCAAACACAGATGGAAGTGTCAGTGAAGGTGAATTTCATGGTTTTGAGGAGTTTGTGAGCAAAAGTAATGCCCATAATACTGGTAAGAGTAATGAAAACCCAGACGACTCTCAGCCTTCCACCTCTGATGCTGAGCTGTCTTGTTCACATTCAGTTGTACCAGAACGAAAGAGGAAACTCATATTTTCCAGTGTCCAGGACTCGTATGTGAGCCATGGCGATGACAGTGATAGTGCATATGATATTGAAGCTCTTGAAAATAGTTCCTGTAGCAAGAGTGAGGTGGAATATTCTCTCCAATGTGCATATGATATCGAAGCTCTTGAAAACAGTTCCTGTAGCAAGAGTGAGGTGGAATATTCTCTCCAATGAAGTGTCCAGAGGGCTGAGGAAGGGTTGTTGAGGTGGTTCGGACATGTAGAGAGAATGGAGCGAAACAGAATGACTTCAGAGTGTATCAGTCCATAGTGGAAGGAAGGCAGGGTAGGGGTCGGCCTAGGAAAGGTTGGAGGGAGGGGGTAAAGGAGGTTTTGTGTGCGAGGGGCTTGGACTTCCAGCAGGCATGCGTGAGCGTGTTTGATAGGAGTGAATGGAGACAAATGGTTTTTAATACTTGACGTACTGTTGGAGTGTGAGCAAAGTAACATTTATGAAGGGATTCAGGGAAACCGGCAGGCCGGACCTGAGTCCTGGAGATGGGAAGTACAGTGCCTGCACTCTGAAGGAGGGGTGTTAATGTTGCATTTTAAAGACTAGTGTAAAGCACCCTTCTGGCAAGACAGTGATGGAGTGAGTGATGGCGAGAGTTTTTCTTTTTCGGGCCACCCTGCCTTGGTGGGAATCAGCCAGTGTGTTAATAAATAAAAAAAATAAATGTATTCTGGTAGTGTGCCATATGCTATTCCAAGGGGAAGGAGTACATCCTGTGCCCATACAACAGGAACAGATAGTGAAAATGAAGATATTGTTACAATTGAGATCCCCTCAAGGGAGGTTCCTTGATGCTGGTGAGGGGCTCTTGATCTATGGAACTAGATCTGTGCTCCAGTTCCCTGAATTGAGCCTGAATACCTTCCCCCTCCCCCCCATATGTGCTGTATAATCCTACGGGTTTAGCGCTCCCCCATGATTATAATTATAATAATACAGTTGCGATAAATAATGTGCTTGCGTCATCAGATGGTGGTGTCATGCGCCATGAGGCACCGGCAGCGGCCCATGCTGGAAGCCACACTGCTGACTCAGCGCAGCTACAGCAAAGCCCACCCTCACTAACCCACCCACCACACCAACTTACACAACCACAACCTCCACAACCACCTGTCAATATCCAGTACCCACCAGCAGACCACATCAGGGACTGGCAGCAAGGTGCCAATTTTGTTCCCAATCCTCATTACTTTGATGAAACTCAAAGTGGAATACAGTCATTTTGTACACTTGGGAACAATGCCACTGAACTGGAATGTTTCCAGTTATTCTTTGATTAACCCCTAATGGAAATTATTGTTAGGGAAAGTAACACATACTTTGATTACACCATGGGAAACACTATTCTTTCACCAAGATCACGCCTACATTAATGGGAGGAGACAAATGTGGCTGAGATGCATCTTTTCTTTGCTACAATAATGCTAATGCCACATGTATATAAGCACACAGTCAAATCATACCGGTCGACAGACCGCCTGATTTCAAACCCAGCTTTCAGTTATATAATACCAGTGAGTTGATTTGTGCTACTATTATGTATGCTACACTTCTCAGACAAAACCAGACCTAACAGAAATGACAGGTTATATAAGATTAGGAATGTGTGTATGTATCTGAAACAGAAATTCTCTATGTATTTTTATCCCTTCAGGAAGCTTGTTATTAATGAGTCCGATTGTGTTCGAAGTAAATCATTTTAGTCATCCTTCTCTGTATGTTCTCCAATTAATCTATATCCATCCTGTGATAAGGAGACCAAAACTGAGCGGCAGAATCCAAATGATGTATAGAGCTGTAAAATAACTTTTGGGCTTCTGTTACTTCCACTTACTGAAATAAACCCTAGTAATCTGTTAACCTCATTGCTCACACTTCGGCACTGCTGTCTTGGCTTTAGATTTCTGCTTACTATGACTCCCAAGTCTATTTCACATTATGTATGATCAAGCTCTACTTCACCTAGTTTATATCTTTGAGGGTTATTTTCATTATGAAGGACTAGTACTTTACATTTATCCACACTGAACTTCATCTGCCATTTTTCAGACCAAGACATTAATTTGTCCAAATCCTCCTGGAGTTCATTGGTATCCTCCTCAGAATGAATCATAAGGCCTATTTTTGTATCATCAGCAAATTTGTTCATGTCACTTATAATTCCCTCATCAAGGTCATTAATGTAAATTATGAACAAGAGAGGGCCTAAAACTGATGCTTGTGAAATGCCACTAGTGACTAATCCCCATTCAGATTTGACCCCATTAATGGAAACTCTCTGCTTTCTATTCGTAAGCCATGCATCTATCCATGCTAGAATTTTTCCTCCTGTACCATAAGAACATAAGAAAGAAGGAACACTGCAACAGGCCTACTGACCCATGCAGAGCAGGTCCATGTCGCCCCCCCCATGGATTAGCCCAATGACCCACCCAGTCTGGTCACCTCCACTCAAGGAAGGAGCACGGCACCAGACCCAGCAGCACAAGCTAGTCAGGTCCAACTCACATCTACCCACACCCACTCATGTATTTATCTAACCTATTTTTAAAACTACACAACATTTTAGCCTGAATAACTGTACTTGGGAATTTGTTCCACTCATCCATGACTCTATTACCAAACCAGTGCTTTCCTATATCCTTCCTGAATCTGAATTTTTCCGACTTAAAACCATTGTTGCGAGTCCTGTCTTGGCTGGAAATTTTCAGCACACTATTTACATCCCCTTTATTCCTGTTTTCCATTTATATACCTCGATTATATCCCCCCTAATTCTACGCCTTTCGAGAGAGTGCAGATTCAGGGCCCTCATGGAAGATTTCTGATACATGGGATCATCTTTGTCATCCTCCTCTGTGCGTTTTCCAGAGCATTTATATCCATTCTGTAATGTGGTGACCAGAACTTAGCAGCATAGTCTAAATGAGGCCTAACCAAGGATATATAGAGTTGAAGAACAACCTGAGGACTTCTATTATTTATACTTCTAAATATGAAGCCAAGAATTCTGTTAGCTTTATTGCAAACCATGAGCTGCCACTTTTCTTAAGAGTCTCTTGTGAGGAACTCTATCGAATGCTTTACTAAAATCCTAATAAACAGTATCATATTCTTTATCATTGTCTACTGCTTCAAATGTTTTATTGAAGAACATCAGTAAATTTGTAAGGCCGGAACGACCTCATGAACCCATGTTGAGATTCATTGATCAAATAAAATCAGCTATAACTGATTCTAATAATTTGACTTCCAGCAAGCATGCGTGAGCGTGTTAGATAGGAGTGAATGGAGACGAATGGTACTTGGGACCTGACGATCTGTTGGAGTGTGAGCAGGGTAATATTTAGTGAAGGATTCAGGGAAACTGGTTATTTTCATATAGTCGGACTTGAGTCCTGGAAATGGGAAGTACAATGCCTGCACTTTAAAGGAGGGGTTTGGGATATTGGCAGTTTGGAGGGATATGTTGTGTATCTTTATACGTATATGCTTCTAAACTGTTGTATTCTGAGCACCTCTGCAAAAACCGTGATAATGTGTGAGTGTGGTGAAAGTGTTGAATGATGAAAGTACAGTGGACCCTCGACCAGCGATGGCATCGATTAACGATAAATCTGACTAGCGATACATTTTATCGCAAAAATTTTGCCTCGATTAGCGCTAAAAAACTTGACCAACGCTATTCGTTCCGTCTCAGACGCGTCAACTTCTGGCCAGTGTTTACAAGCCAGCCAGCCACCGCGGTCGCTTCCAAGCATACAATTGGAACATTTCATATTATCACAGCCTTTTTAGTGATTGCACCTGCAAAATAAGTCACCATGGGCCCCAAGAAAGCTTCTAGTGCCAACCCTACAGCAAAAAGGGTGAGAATTACTATGGATATGAAGAAAGAGATCATTACTAAGTATGAAAGTGGAGTGCATGTCTCCGAGCTGGCCAGGCTGTACACAAAACCCCCAATAAACCATCGTTTTATTGTGGCCAAGAAAACGGCAATAAAGGAAGTGTTCTTGCCAAAGGTGCAACTATGTTTTCGAAAACTGAATCGTAAGTGATAGAAGATGTTGAGAGACTTTATTGGTATGGATAAACAAAAAAACAGATAGCAGGAGATAGATCTCTCAAGCGTCTAGTAAAAAGGCGGGAATTTGCCTGACGTTTTAAATTTAAAAAAAACCGCAATAGTGGTGATGTGATGAATTTTAAAGGGCCGAAAAGGTTGGTTTGAGAATTTAAGATCTTAGGGGCTCATGTGTGTAAGGCTGGTGAGGCTCCCCAGTTTTGGA